AGTTCTGTCTCTTTTCACCTTGTTCTCTCTATCCCTCGCTCCCCCTCCCCACACGCACACACACCCAACCAACCACCCTCTCTCACACGCTCTTTCTCTCAACTCCCTCTGTCTCACTATCTCTCTCCCCTCACTCTCTCTCCACCCACCCTCTCTCCCTCCACTCTCACTCCCCTCACTCTCTCTCCCTTCACTCTGAAATCAAACCCAAGCTCTCCTCCTGCCCAAGGTCAAGGCTACATTTTCTCCTACGACTGTTCCACTTTTCGACAGTCCCCGGAATGTCGTACTGAAGCAGTAAGCACATACCAGTCACCAGACCCACAGACATACAGATACGCAACGATCTCAGGAAAAACATGTTACGATGATTTCTACCATTTTGTGTCAATAGCTTTCTTTAACGACAACCCAGGCAAATGAAAGACTTTCTCAGGAAGGAATATTGTCTTGTTGGGGACGTAAAAAACTCCTCCATTTAGTTAAACGTTCAGGAAAATTATATCAATTCATGTCATTTGCTGTCACATTCACGGAGCTCTTGTTTCTTAATCAAACAGTCGTCAGACAACAGCAACAACAACAACAACAACAACAACAACAAAACGTACCTCAAATAAAGTGTCAACGTTCATTTTTATTTCACACACACAAACATCTCCCACGTTCAGTTCAGACGATGATCAGGTCATGCAGTGGCGAGAACCATCTTGAGTTCCCCTTTCGGTTCTACAATTTTTTCATGAATTGCAGATATCAGTATTTGAGGACACTGAAGTCGCCAGCATTTGCTGAATGATTTAAATCTCTCTCCGAGTTTACTTTGCTGAGATTTAATATCATTTTGCCATCTAAGTGGAGCGATGATCAAAGACAGAGAGAGAAGGGTACTGTGGCCTGTGTAAATGGGAACTCCGGGGTTTGTGATAGAGACCATACACATACCATTCCACGGGGCCGCTCAAACACAGCGATCAGATGAAAGTGGCGATAATGAGGGAGAGATTCAAGTGTGAGAAACTGGGCCCCTAAATCAAGCGAAAACTGTCTCGCTTTGAGCTCAATAATTGAACGTTTGAAACCTCAGTATCTTTACTTTTTCTTTTTAGCCCCAACTAACGTAAAAAAACAATGTTTAGTCCGACTATTACTTTGATCGTCGTGTTTCTTTCTTTTTCTTCTCGATACACAGCAGCTCTTCGACATCATTTCTGTTGCATGTTTTTCCTGTGCCAAGACCTTTCTTTCCCTGAAGGACTGTTTTTAAGGCAGACATGTTTATCTACGTACTCTGAAATCAATAATTTGGGAACTAGCCAGATCTAGCTGCAGCACAAGGGCCTTTTCCCGTCACAGCTTAACTTAGATTGTTCAGAACGGTTAGGAAAGATCACGTGACTATGTCTGTACCTCTGCCTTGAATATCCAAATAAAATACTATCCTGTTTCCAAACAAATCATGCCTTGTGTTGACTGTCTTTGCTCCCCCCCCT